ATTCTACCACCACTTGTAACAAGTAAACTTTATTAATTCATTACATTATCACTCTATTTGTGCAGGTTTTTGTATTTTTAGTATTCTGAATATTCGCTATAATTCGTCGATTAATAACATGTCGACTATTTCTGTTTGGTCTCCAATAATAAGAACACATATTAGTGAAACAAGGCCTCTGAGAGCTCAGGCTTTAATTAAAGCCAATGTGTTTTCCCGCCTCCATGATAATGTTTACCTGCTTCCTATATTTAAGCTAAATATTAAATAGATATAAAAATTTAGGCTATATAAACAATATTTAAATATTAAATAGTTTATTTCATATTTTCTCATTTGGATTAAGTTTGAATTGGGCAATGCAATATTCACAAGGAGTTTATGCCTAATTGTGAAATTGTATTACTTTAAAAAAATATAACTGCATAAAATGTAAAATATTATAAGATGTAAAAATTTGATTTGAATGGTTCAGCGAATTCTCATTAATTACTTCATTGTGTTAGAATATCCTGAAATTAGCAACTACATACTCTACCATATTACTATTACTAACAAGAATATATTCATAACTGTGCATTCGAATGGTGAAGTAAGTATTGTAAAAGAAAGCTTATATATGTGTGCACATGCACGCGTGTTCTCGCATGCGCGCGTTTGTGGGTTTAATTAAAGCTATTTCTCATATCGCATCTCTGCATGGTACGTTCGACGCAATTATGAATTGCCTTAAAATAATTATACGAATCACTATATATGGAATATTACATTCATACAGCACAGATTTGTCATCTATATTCATATACGTATGTGCTAAACTAACACTAATATCTCCTCTGTAACACTTCAGTCTCCTGGGCGACATGGGTCATTTGTGAACTCCCTCAATGTCGCTCGGTTGGTTGCCTTCCGCTCCATTCCCCTCCAGGTGTAGGCTCTAGCCCTTCTTCTTACGTTCTGCCTCCGTGTCTCGCCTCCAGGTTACTTTAGGCCTTCCTACCCGACGTCTTCCTTGCGGGTTCCAGCTCAGCGGTGTGCGTGTTATGTCAGTCGCTTCCTTCCGCAGTCTGTGGCCTACTCAGCCGGCCCAACCACCGACCCGACCCGACCCGCCCAACACTAATATAGATAGTATTATTTGTCGACCCCAGTGGCGTTTCTGTAAATTTAGCACTAAATCAATTTATCCTTATACGGGATCGTCTCATATCACTGTGAAGTGCTCACTTCGCAAAAGTGTCGCAAACAATATTGTGCATATGATTCTGAAACCGTCCCAATCTGAGAGACAATCCTAGGATAGGAATACTGAGAAGCATAGATTAAATAAAAAATAATAGATCATACAATTATAATATTAAAAAATAACATTAAATGTTGGTTCTCTCGTGTCTATCTGCTTGATTCATTGATTCATTGAACAATATACAATATACAAAACTTATCTGTCTCTCTAGATGACACATATACAGCGTATAATAAATCATCTCACCATATAAGCAAACACGCTACAGAAAGAGCTCCGAACAAATTTGCGAAGTGCAATCAATGCACACTGGTAGAGAGAGAGAGACTTATTTTTTATTGTTATTTCATTAATTAATTTATTAATTCATTCATTCCTTCCTTCATTCATTTATTCATTCATTCATTCACTCACAATCAATGCACACTGGTAGAGAGACAGCACACAGACACGGCCTCGTTTAATGTTATTTTTTCATATTATAATTGTATGATTCATTATTTTTTATTTAATCTATGCTTCTCAGTATTCATATCCTTGGATTTGTTCCCAGATTGAACGGTTTTACAATCATATGCACCTAATTATTTGCGAAATTTTTGCGAAGTGAGTACTTCATAGAGATATAAGACGATCCTGTATAAGGATAATTTTATGTCGTACTAAATTTTCAGAAACACAACTGCGGTCGATAAATAATACTAACTATATTAGTGGTAGTTTAGCACATACCTATATGAATATAGATGAAAAAAAATCTGTGCTGTATGAATGAAACATTTCAGATATAGTGATTTATTTATTTACTTAATTATTTATCAATTTACTTACTTATTTATGTACTTATTTATTTATTTTCATTTTTTCTGTTACTTTAAAATATATCCATACTATTATTTTCCCTCTATTTTCTCCATCTACACCGGTTGACACAGGCAATTTAGTTCTGTCACACGTTAGATTCAAGAGCTAAAGAATATGTAAGTTATAATATTAGGGACTGATAGTATGGACTCCTGTCTGTCCACATACAGGAACTATGAGGTCACTGAAAACGACTCTAAGCTGCTATTTTTAGAATAATAGCACTGTTTATTAGATAGATTGGTCCCTGTCTCTTGATCAGAGATATGCAGCGCTGCTCTGTCCGTCTCACCATATAAGGAGGTGAGCTATACCGAGATCGAACAGTTCTGCTAGCAATAAAGCTCATGTGGAGGCAGGACACAGACACACGTTTATTTAAAACTATTT